GAGTATAGTCTTCATGTGATTGTGCATCTACAGCCTTGGCTGCCAACAACTTAATAATTGTAGGATCACCCTCATAACTGGCCACCACTTCAGTTAACCACTTAGGCAGTATAGTGGTTATGGCTTTGAATTCAGCTTCATGAGATTCTTGTCTGGATAAGGCATCTGCCACCTTGTTTTCCACCCCTTTTTTATATTGTATCTCATAATCTAACCCAATCAACTTGGCAATCCACCTCTGTTGCAAAGCAGTAGTTACTTTCTGTTCCATAATATACTTAATACTCTGCTGGTCTGTCTTGATAACAAAATGATGCCCTTGTAAATAATGCTTCCATTTCTGCACTGCCATTAACACTGCCAAAAATTCCCTTTCATATATAGATAGGACTTGAGTTTTAGCACTCAAGGACTTACTAAGGAATGCAATAGGTCTGCCTTCTTGCATTAACACAGCACCCAATCCTGTAGAACTGGCATCTGTTTCAACCAAGAATGGTTTGGTGAAATCAGGTAGAGCCAATACAGGAGAAGTAACCATTGCTTCTTTAAGCTTCTGAAAAGCTGACTCAGAGGCAGAGGACCATTTAAATCCCCCCTTTTTGAGCATATCAGTTAGAGGTTTACTGATAATACCATAGCCCTGGATGAACTTCCTATAATATCCAGTTAGACCAAGAAAACCTCTCAACCCTTTGATAGTTGAGGGTTTTGGCCAGTCCAACATGCATTGTATCTTACTGGGATCTGTAGATACACCTTGAGCACTGATAATATGCCCAAGATACTCAATACTATTCTGCCCAAATTGGCACTTAGACTTCTTGGCATACAGCTGATGTTTTTCCAATAAGGCCAAGGTGATGCTAAGATGCTTTAAATGCTCTTCATATGTGGTGCTATACACCAAGATATCATCAAAAAAGACCAATATAAACTTCCTCAAATGCACAGAAAATACCTGATTCATTAGTGATTGAAATGTAGCAGGTGCATTGCAAAGCCCAAAAGGCATAACCAGATACTCATAATGACCTTGATGTGTTTTAAAGGCAGTCTTATAGATATCCTCCTCTTTCATTCTGATTTGGAAATAACCAGACCTCAAATCCAACTTAGTAAACCACTGTGCACCATGAAGTTCATCCAGCAGTTCATCAATTACTGGAATGGGGTAATCATGTTTTACAGTGAGAGTGTTGAGGTATCTATAGTCAACACACATTCTCCATGTGGAATCTTTCTTCTTGACCAACAACACAGGAGAGGAAAATGGGCTCTTACTGTGCCTGATGATACCCCCTTGCATCAGTTCCTGAACAATGCTCTCAATTTCATTTTTTGAGGCATGAGAGTACCTGTAAGGATACAGTTGTTTGGGGGTAGCCTGTGGTTTCAATACAATTTGGTGTTCCACCCCTCTGTTAGGTGGCAATCCTTGAGGTTCCTTAAAAACAACTGCATAGCTGTCTATGAGCTGTACTACTTCAGTAGGAATCCCTGGTTGATCAGCTTGACTAATGATGTTGTGTGAATGCTCTTTAGTAGCTGAAGAACCTATCCTTAACACCTCATGTCTGTCTGGTTCAGTGAGGAGGGAGTGAATAGTGGGGCAATCCTTGGATACAATTAGCATCCTATGGTCTCCCTTCTGAATCTTGACAAACCTCCTTTTATAGTCAAACTTGACTGGACTGCTTTCCCACAGCCAATCACAGCCAAGAACTATATGATATCCACCTAGCTGCAACAGCCTTAGTGGGAATTGAAAAAACTCACCCTGCATTTGCCATTCAAAATCCATCACCACTCCCTTACTGACTGTCTTGCCTCCATTAGCAACAGTTACCACCATAGGATTAGTTGGGCTAATATTGCAGTTGAGTTGGGCTGCTAATTCTTCACTAATAAAACTGTCAGTACTGCCAGTATCTATCAAGATAATGAGAGTAGTGTCACCCAAATTGCCTTCCACCTTTAGAGTCTTAACTCCACTTCTTCCAGATATAGCATTTAAAGAAACTTCACTAACTGCAGACCCATCCTCAACCTCATCAATACTCAACCCTGTCAATGAGAGCAGGTGAGCATGTTCCTCATCTTCAGTCATTAACACATATATCTGATTAAATTTGCACTTGTGCAAAGGGTGGTACTGCTCATCACAGTTGAAACATAAGCCCTTCTCTCTTCTAGCCCGCATTTCAGGAAGTGTGAGGTGTTTTCTGTTATTGGTATTGTTATATGGCTGGGAATTGTTGAGTTTGACTATGTTGTTTGGCACAGCCTGTGGTCCTTGCAGTAGTTTTCTCTGAGGGTTCTGGTATGGCCCCATGGTTTTTATTGCAGCCCTAGGTTTCTTGGAAAATATTTCCAGGGTAGCATCTTGGTTTCTAGCCATTTCCAGAAGGTGTTCAATAGACTTCTGCTCAAAACAGGCAAGGAATGTTTGGTTCTCTTCTGGTAATCCACTAACAAATAAAGTTTTGAAAAATTCCTCATCATATAATCTGTTATTGAACATCAACAAATAGGACCTCATTTCCTCAAATCTGTCAATATATTCATTGATAGATCCAGTGACTTTGAGTTTGCAAAACTCAGCTAGCACCTTACCCTCTCTAAGTTCTTCAAACCTAGCAGAGATAAGGGCTACAAATTGCTCCCAAGAGATGTACCTATTTCCTTGAGATATCTGACCATACCATACAGCAGCCTTCCCATCAAAATGCAAGGCAGCTATGGTCACCTTCTGGTTTTCAGGGATATTTGTCACCAACTGGAAGTATCCTTGACACTTCAACAACCAAGCTCTTGGGTTAGACCCATCAAACCTAGGAAACTCCAGCCTAGGATGGGGGTTGAAGTTGTTTCCAAATGGATCTGGTGGTCCAGTGACTTCTTGAACCCTGTGGTGCCTCTGTTCTGGAGTATGCCTTCCCACAGCTTCTGGTTGTGCATTCATGGTGTAAGCAGCTGAGCCCCCTGAAGACCCTTCACCCAATATAGATTTTTCTCTGTTATAAATCTCCATCCTCTCTACAATCTTTGACATCTGTAACTGCAGCATCTCCATGTCCTTCTTAGCCTGAATCTGTCCTTCCTTGATTTGATCTTGAAGGTTCATCTCCACTGATTCCCTCTGTGCCATTGCTTCTGCAAACTTCTGCTCCATTTGCTTCCTCTGAACCTCCAATTCTTTGAAACGAGTCCTTCAGCCATTTGTTGCCCAGTAATTATTTGATCAATCTTGCTTTTGATACCAATGTCAGATCTGCCTATATATATATATGTAATTTAAATATATAATATCTGTAAAAGCTTGGTAGACAGTAATGGTGGAACTTGGGGAAGAAGAAAGATAGATAAGAAGTGAGAGAGATGAGAGATAGAAGAAGACAAGAATAGAGAGAGAAAATAACTTTTTCTGATTAATTCCCAAATCATCTTTTCTGGCTACATATAACGGTTTCTGCCAAAATAAAAATATTCATTCTTAACAAATAAAATTAAAACACGTGTCCTTCAACTAGTAGTTTCCAGCAGCTTGTTTTGCCTACACGCGCGCGAGTAATTCAGCATCTTTTTCCTCACGCGCTCCTTCCTCTAAAACGGTGTCGTTCTCCTTTCCAACCAAAACGATGTCGTTCTTCACAGCCCTAATTCCCTCCGCTCCAATCATTTGAATTCGCGCACTCTCTTTCCCTTTTGAATCTCCCCTCTTCCTCTTCTTCTTGCAGCCCCAATCCTTCAAGGCTATGACATATTGCAAATGCTGTGTTACGATCTTAGGTTAGTTTGGGTTTTTAGGGTTCGTAGCTTAATCGATCTGAATTCTACTCAGATATGTATTCGATGTGTGATAATTGAATCGTCAAATGTATTCTTGCTTTTTCCTGCTCTTAAACTACACTTATTTTTTATTTTATCGTAATTCTATGCAAATGCTCTGTTAGGGTTTTTAGCTTGGGTTTTTAGGGTTCTTTGCTGTATCCTGCTGAATTCTACTCAAATCAGTTTTCAATATGTGATAATTGAATCATCAAATTTGTATTAATTATGTTTTTTTTTTATAGAATTATGATTATTATAGATGCAGAAACATTTAACCTTTAAATTTTTCTTTAGTTTGGAGAATATTGTTCAAAGGTTTTGGGATGTCTCGTGCTCCTATATCTGATTTTTGTTTGTTGGAACCGTCTTTGTTGATTTATCGATGTACGATATTCCTGTTTGCTAGTTTTTTTAATTATTTATTTATGCACTCGGTATTTCTGTATTTGCAGACGTACGTACAAACAATGGCATCTTCAGATGAGGGAAAAGAAAACAGAAAGCCTCCATCTACCCTCAACGGAGGCGGGGGTAGAAGATTTTTAGGTGGCACTTCTGGTGTAAGTCCAATAATAATTTTATTTTTTCTGCATTAAATATTAGGGTAAATTACAAACCCCCCCTGAGGTATGGTCAAATTACAAAAACCCCCCTCTTGTTTTGGATAATTACATCTACCCCTCAACTATGATTTTTTCTTAGACCTCCACCTTTATGGTGCCAAATTCAACATAATCATCTAGATTCCGTGAAATGTGCTCTAGTTTGTACTCGTTTTGTGTAAAAAATACAGTTTCCGATGCACCACAAACTGATATATACAAGCTAAAAATCACATATTATGATCATCTTGCTTCATAATGTAGAGTTTGAATGGGATAAAACGGGTACAAAAGTGATAATATTCCATATAATCTTGAAGATTCCACTAAATTTGAGGAGTTGAGGGGGTGGATGTAATTATCCAAACAAGAGGGGTGTTTTTGTAATTCGACCATACCTCAGGGGGGTGTTTGTAATTTACCCTAAATATTAACATATATGTCATAAGTTGGTGTAATTTGTTATATAAAAGTATTTCAAATATATTCTCTTCTCCTCCCTCAGAAAAATCTGTCGGTTCCTATTTCTCTTTCAATATCCGTTTATGTATATGCTTCACACATAATATTTGTTTTCCGATTTGTGACACTATTTTCTAGACTTTAGACTTCAGAGTTATATACAATTTGCCTTTTGTTTTTGGTTGTTTACTAATGCTAAATCTCTCTGAAGGGTGGTTACAGCAGTTTAGATTTTTTCAGGTTATGATATAACCATTTAGATTTCCGAAAAAGCTAGTTTAGTAGGAAGACATAGCCAGATTATGATCAAGCCCGTATTTCCACGTGTGATAAAATGAATCGGCGCATTTTTTTATTTTTTTTTATTTTTTGTTATTCAGTTTATATTTAAATAATTATGTTTACTGTTATAAATGTCGCAGAATCCTCCTGCTGGTGCCATCCTCCTTATGTCACGAGTGCTGGGCTGCCGGTTTGTAATAACACATTGTTTTCATATGTTACATACTTAAACTTATTTTTCACGTATTGATCGATTGTTTGTCTTTGTAATGAATGTCAGGCTACTTCAACTGTCTTCAGTTCTGAAGATTCTCAATTATGCCAGCAAGTAAGTGATATATTAAATGTTTTTTTCACTTAATTTTTTTTTTTTTTTAATGTGGATTGTTCTTTTCTGTGTGTGTGTGTGTGTGTGTACGCATTCCTTTTGCATTCATAACTCACCCATATGATTATGAGGTTTAATTGATCATGTGTGAAGTATGAAATATAAATGTTTTAACAAGAGTTGCATAAATATGCCATTGTCTCAATATGAAATATATCATCATCCCTAGACGAATTCCTTTTTAAGCGAAATTCTTTGGACTCTATTGTACAAGACATTGAAATCTTGCTCTAATTTTGTTATTTCGTTTTTGCGTTTTAGTGATGGATGAAAGTGGAAAGGCATGTTGCTTGCTCTGACAATGATGGCAAAGTTGCGGCCCATCAACTCAAGGAACTCTTCCTTTCCGTTGCTTCTGCACCCGCAAGGACGTAAGTCCATGTAATATACTTTCCCAATTGCATATACATATACATACGTATATGATTTCTCTTTCATGTATGTGCAACATTTTTTTTGGGTACAGATACAAGTCAATGAAGTTGTAATTGAGGATACAGACATACGATTTCTCTATCATGTATTATATACCTGGAGTAATAATATCCCCGGTATATATACATACATACCGGGGAGTGCTTACCAAAGGGTCACCGCGTTTGTGCAATGTACGTCATCTCTCTCTCTCTCTCTCTCTCACACACACACACACGCAAATGCACACTCACTCACTGACATATACGATGTGCAGGAAATTTGAGAGGGAATTTGCTGGGGAGCTAGAGAGTCTAAGAGCGATATTGGATATTCAGCAGCAGTTCTCGCGCAGAGCCGTACTTGACTCGTCTAGCACAGTGGCTTCTTGGTGTGGGAACGGACGAAAAAAGCTCTCTCCCTCTCTCTCTCTCTCTCTCAATATGGAAATGTCCCTCTCAGTGAGCCTAATAAAAGGACCAAACATTTGCACAAATCGTAATTGGGCCAAATAAAAATTCAAGATCGAAATTGGGCCTAGTAAAAAGCCCAAACTTTTCATAAATCGTAATTGGGCCTAATAAAAAGCTAATATAATTGGGAACTCAAAACTTTCTAGAAATTATAATTCGGCCTAATCAATGCTATATGATTATTGGGCCGAAGAAAAAGTCAAAGCATTTCCGAAAATCGTTATTGGGCCAATAAAAGCCCAAACTTTTTACATAATTGACATTGGAACTAAGAAAAAGCTCATATTTTTCCATACTTTGTAACTGGGCCTAATAAAAAGCATAACCTTTTTACATAACTTGTAATTGGGCCTAACGAAAAGCCTATATTTTTCTATAGGGCCCAACAAAAAGCCCAAACTTTTCCAAAAAACGTGTTGGGCCTAAGAAAAAAACCATACGTTTCAATAAATTGTAATAGAACCTAAGGAAAGCCCAAACTTTTCCAGTATTGGGCCTAATTATGATGTTTTTTCGTAATTGGGCCAAAAAGAAGCCCAAACCTTTCCATAAAATCTTAATTGGACCTTATAAAAGCCCAAAACATTCCATAAAATTTATTGGGCCTAAAAAAAGCCCATATTTTTTCAGATAGTTGGGCTTAATTAAAAGCCCAAACTTTTCCAGAAAATCTTAATTGGACCTAGTAAAAGCCCCAACGTTTCCAGAAATTGTAAATAGGCCTAATAAAAAGCCCATAATGTTCCGTAAATCGTTATTGGTCTACTAAAAAGCCCAACGTTTTCTATTTTAAATAAATAAAAAGCCCAAAAGTTTACAGACATCGTAATTGGGCCTACTAAAAAGCCTAAATTTTGCAAGTGGGCCCCATTAAAGCCCAAACTTGTCCCGTAATTGTAATTGGGCCTAGTAAAAAGCCCAAACTTTTTTAGAATTCGTACTCGGGCCTAATAAAAAGCCCATAATATTCTATTTCAATATAAAAGAAGCCCATAATTTTCTATTTCAAATATAAAAAAAGCCCATAATTTTACAGAAATCGAAATTGGGCCTACTAAAGTCCAAAATATTCGTAAATGGCCATACTCAAGACAATTTGCATACAAGAATCATACTGCAACAGATTGGTTTTTAGTTTAACACTCAACGTCCAAAATGCAATTAAACCAACTTCAGACAAACAATATTAAAAGCAAAAAAACGAAATTTAAAAAAAAATAAACACATAAGTATCCGGAAATCCAAAAAATCTTTTCTCCTCCATCGAACAAAAATTGTTCCCATCTAGTTGTCTGTTTTTCTTCTACTCTCGTTTGCGGTGTAAATTCAGTAGAGAACTAGTTCACTTAGATGGGACAGGGGGGAACCTCGAGAGTAATGCCAGCTTGGATTTGACCCCAGCCAATCAGACGCCAGTGCCTATCGATTCTTCGGCTCAGTGCTATTTTCTCTCCTTTGCTTGTGCACACAGGGGAAGTCAGCTGTAGTTTAGCAAAAACATTCTTCACAGCAACAACACGTGCACCTGTTGACATGGATCCTATGTTCAACATGAGAATCTCTCCCTTTGTCAGCTTCGACACCTTAACCTGCCTTTCTGAGTCCTTTGTCCTGACACCTAGCAATCGCCTCAGCAAAAAGAAATTCACCTGCATTCAATAGACATGATCAACAACCATTGCAGAATTTGTTGCAACATATTCATTACATTTAGACCTCTTTTTCGAATCTGAATAGGGACTTGATAATCAATATAATCAAGGTTCGGCTTTCATGCCCATAATATAAAAAAAGGAACCCAGATTTTAATCAATCAACCCAATCATGTGAGGGATATTAACCAGTACACGGATTGTATAATAACAAATCCCCAACATAAGATAATCGTATATAACATTATCATGCAATAGTCCTAAAGACGATTTGTATGTAGAAACAATTAAATTGGCCATCACGAACAAAACTATGTAACTAATTTGAGGAGTTGGCCATCACGAACAAAACTATGTAACTAATTTGAGGAGAACAAAAACTATATTATTACCTCAAGTTCAACATAGATTTCAGGGAGTGAACCGACTTCTCCAAGAACCTGGCCGACCAACCTGTCAGCACGTGTAAGTGTGGGGTCCATTGTTGTCCCAACTCCAATAAGGCCTCCAGGCACAGCAAATTGTAATTCATTTTGCTCTGCGTACAAGGAAACAATCCTGGAGTAGATAGGTGTGCACTTGATGTTATCGGTTTCATCCTTCACAACAATACCTGGACGGACCTCGATAAATTGGTTTACCTTCAAAACACCCTGCAAACAAAAATTTAAATAAATAAATAAATATCAACTGCTCTTTTACATTCCTAATGGATGATTGATTCGCAGGTGGCTACTTCTGAGAGAGATCAATAGGAGAAAGTAACAAAATATGACTTCAATAAATTAACCCTAGTGAAAGACCACTTTCTACAATTTTCAGCTTTGTACATACGACACTGATAGAATAAGCAGATCACCATCAGAAAAACAAATGTGAGCCCAATTAAATAGGTTCAGTTATTACATCAGAAGTATTTACCTTCAAAATACTTCCACCAGCAACACCACCTTTGATTTCATCAACTTCAGACCCAGGCTTATTGACATCAAAAGACCTGATCACAATCATATTTGGTGGTGAAATGAAATTCCTCTCTGGGATAGGAATTCTCTTGATAATGTATTCGCATACAACATCAATATTATACTTCAGCTGCGCAGAAATTGGTACCACAGGTGCACCATCTGCGACAGTTCCCTGAAAAGACAACTCGGAAGATTATTTTACCTATGGCTGTAAAAATAATTTGTTTCACATCAGTTGCAAAAACGGACCTGAATAAATTTCTGGATGGCTTCATGCTGGTTGATAGCAACATTTTCCTGAACAAGGTCAACTTTATTCTGAAGAATTATGATATGTTGGAGACGCATGATTTCAACAGCAGCTAAATGTTCTGAAGTTTGAGGTTGAGGGCAACTCTCATTGGCAGCTATTAGAAGCAAAGCTCCATCCATAATTGCTGCCCCGTTAAGCATTGTAGCCATGAGAATATCGTGACCCTATGGGCAAGTACAACAGTAAGAACACTCATGAAATGAGAGAAGCCTAAATGAAAGATTTGGTTCACAAATAATCCCATGTAGAATGCAATTTTTACAAGCAAACCAACATATGAATCGACAAATACCCAAATTGATGTTCAGTATTCTGGCAGAATCCTACTCAAAGTTGTCCAAAATGAAATAGAGTTGCAAATGCTGCAAAATTAAAAGAAACTTACCGGGCAATCGACAAAGGACACATGTCTAAGCAATTTCATCCTGGCATTCTCAAACCCAGGAACATCACATGCTGGACTGTCTTCTTTTCCACTTCCATATGCCCTGATAAAAATAAGCATGTTTAATGAAAACCAAGAAAATAAGCACATCACAGTAACAGAAATCCACATTGCTTATCTTACTTGTAGCACATGGGTCGAGGGCATCGATCGTCTTCACACTTGTATATCTTTGCATTGGCATATCCGAGCTTGATAGTGATATTACGTTCCAATTCATTTTTAAACCGAACAGTCTGTACGTAGAAAGTAGTCCAAAATCAGAAAAAACATGAATCACATATGTATTCTCTCTCTTGGCCTTAAAAGTCCACGAATTACACTGCTCGTCATCATTACTCATCAAGAAAATGATGAAAACAAGCCCACTGAAAATGGATTAGAACAAGAAACTTAGGCACATGACAACAAGCCAATAAATTAAATTGCCAGCAAAATCCTTAGTATGTAAGATTTACTCTTCCATTAAGATCATTTCAAATATGAATAACCAAATCGTGCATCACAAGAACTGGTCAGCTACAACCATTAAGTCCGAGAAAATTAACATAAACCATTTGGATCTAACCTATAAGAAATTATTACAACGATACTAAGCATGTCACTGTGATCAGATTCACAAGGAGATATCTGCATTAGAAAAATGTTTCTAGACTTACAAAGTAAAAACATTTCCAAGAAATTATCGAAGAAGTTACATACCTGAACACCAGATATGGCCTTCACCACTGTTGACTTACCATGAGCCACATGACCGATGGTACCTGAAGGAGATTGAATTAGTACGGAGATATGCTCTCTGAGCAGTTAACATAGAGAATACTTCAAAATAAACAAATGTGATAATTTGCAATTCTTGCATGGGGGAAAAAAAGCAGTTCAAACCAATGTAAATACAGCTGTACAAGCTTACCAATGTTTATAGTAGCTTGGCGAGAAATAACCTCAGGTGAGAGTGGATGTAGTTGTGTTACATCCAACTTGCTTAAATCCTGCTCCATCAAACCCTTTCTAGACATTTTGGCAGCTTTAGATAGGTCGCTCTCAATATCAAATTGTAAAGTCAAGGCGCAAAGAAGAGAAGGCCACTTAGGAAATTAACAATAGCCTGCAACAAAAGGTAATCATTATTTCTTGCAAATTCAAGTTAAGTTTGCTTATGACAACAAAAATTGAATGTGTTGACATGCAATAATCTGGTGACAAGTATGAATTGGGGGCAATAGTAATAAGAATTTACAAGGAACCTTTTCGATGAACTCATCCTATAATACCAGATTAATAAGGTGCTTCATAAGTGGCGTAAATACCATACAAATAAGCATTATCAGCAACTATTAACTTCTTTTTTATGTTCACGTAAGAAAGAGCAGACGAATATCGGAGAATATACTGCAGAAATTTCACAATATATTTCACTGTTACTCGACTATTACAAGAGTTGAAAATCAACGTAGTAGATAGAAACTTCAATCTTATTTCGCAATTCACAACACAAATCCGTAATCCCTTACAAAGACCCATACCCATCAACGCAGTGGATTAGCATTCCATCAAATCTTAACCCCTAATATCCCAAATAACACACACAAAATCACCATTTCTCACTGGATAAAGAACAAAATCATTTCCGCTAAAACCCTAATCCCCAATATCTCACCTCAATACCAAAAAGGAAACCCTAAAAACAAAACAATTCAAACCGAGAAACACATATCCAAAAAATCCCGTCCGAAAACACAGTTCTCCCAGAAAAAAAATTACGGACGCATAAAAACCTAAATCCGAAAAAGCTCGAACTACCAAATGGAGCAATAAAATTGACAACAAAATAAGAATAAAAACAATGATTCGATACCGACGTAAAAAAGAAATGTATACGAACAGACGGCGGAGGAGGAACGGCGGAGCTGACCTTCGTCTTAGAGCAGCCGTCGGAGCGCGTTTTCTATAGCAGAGTGTGAGAGAAATAGGGATTTTAGGGATAGTTATAAAAGTGCTGACAAATAAATACATGGTATTTGCAAAAAGGTCCCTCAGGAGTTGTATTATTATAATTTCTAGCACTGAAGATTTTTCAAATTGATTTTTCTACTTTTCTTGTCTACCAATTAAATTAGTTTTCACACTTCACATTCAGGAAAGGTATTTTATTAAATCCCTAAATACTATATATAACTAAAAAAATCAATTAGTTATTCAATTTTATAACATACAATCCAATCATAATACTTTAAAAAAATGTGGAATATTATACGCGATTTTTTCTTAACAAAACCCGAATGATGCACGTTTTTTTTTTCTAGCGTCTTGTACCATGTTACACCGGATAAAATATGACAGTCGTGTCATCTTAAAATTGTAAGAAATCGAACACACATATATATAAATGTGTGTAATATATATATATACGCACACGCGTTTGTAATTGGATATATAGCAGATGGCAAACTTCATCAAGTGTAACATACAACAAAAGTTTGAAGAATAAAGTTGAAAAGAATCTATTTCATTTTCTATAGTTTTATATTCCTACGTCAAGTAAACATCGATAGTACATTTGACGAAAATACCCCTCGTTTCCATAAAAAATACGATTCTACGCCAATGTCGAGACGACTAATTAAAACAGTTCCAAAACTATAAATCATGTCGGATTAATTAACCTTCGTTGGATGTCTCGTAAACAATATCGTACGTAAACGATGTTTTAACATCTCATAACACACTATTCCATAACTGCTTGAAACTATATCTATATCTATATCTATATATATAACTATATAAGTATAACTACTTTTAATTGTCTCTTATTCTTGAGCAAGCAATATTTTATCCTTTTTAATTTCTTTCGACTCGGGAAATTGAAAGTTTTCACGCACTGGAGGTGCCCGTTTGATCGTTTTCGTCGCCGAATATTCGTTGTCTGAAATCGTCGACCATACGAGGAAGTCCATCACTTAGGGAAACCGTCGGGGCCCACCCTAGTAGTTCCTTAGCCTTTGAAATATCAGGCTTTCTTTTATGTGGATCATCTTCTGTATTTGGTCTGAATTCTATCTTTGCATTTGGATCTATTGTGTCTTGTACTACCTGCAAGAATAATTTACTTATTTAATTTTTTTTTTCGTCGTTTTTTTAATGTAAAAAAAAAAAAAAAAAAAAGGTGTACACCTTAGCAAGTTCGAGCATGGTGAATTCACCGGGGTTACCGAGATTGAACGGGCCCACGTGATCGCCTTCCATCAATCTCATCAAACCTTCAACCTGTTTTGTTAATTAAATTTTCGTTGTATGATCAAGAACGGTACTACGATTAAGTATTCTTCGATGTAATCAAAGAGGTGATTAGTCAAGATTTTGTTTACCAAATCGGAAACGTATTGAAAGCTTCGAGTTTGCTTTCCATCTCCGTAAACAGTCAACGGCTCTTTTCTTAAGGCCTGCGAAAGTGATCTCTCTAATGCTATATATAATAACAAGCATTAAAAAAAAATTGAGCATTTAGGACTTACCTGAGCGACGAAATTGCTCACGACACGGCCATCATCGATACACATACGCGGGCCGTACGTGTTGAAAATTCTAGCAATTCTTACCTGTGAAAAAAACAATTACAGAAATACTATGTTTATTGATGTGGAATATATATTTGATAAGGATCTTATTATAACCTCGAGATTAAGTCCTCTGTGATAATCCATAGTCAACGTCTCGGCTGTACGTTTTCCCTCGTCGTAGCAACTTCGAACCCCTGTTCATAAAAATCCAATCTTTTTTCAACTCGAAAAATAATTTTACTACCTTAGTGACCGATCAAAATCCAATTTTTTTCGACTAAAAATGCTTTAACGATCGTATTATTACATACCGATAGGATTAACATTGCCCCAATAAGTCTCGACTTGCGGATGTTGCAACGGATCGCCGTACACTTCACTAGTGCTCGTTAGAAGAAAACGTGCACCGACCCTCTTAGCCAATCCCAACATATTCAATGTTCCCATCACATTTGTCTTGTGACATCTAAAAACCACTATAGTCAAGAAAAATTAAAGCAATGTAATAAACTATTTTTTCAAGAACTATAGCTTTTAATTTCAAGAATCGAGCGACGATCGAAAAAGGATATAATTGTCTTGACGGGGTTGTACTTGTAATGTACAGGGGAAGCAGGGCAAGCCAAGTGGTAGATTTGATCGACTTCTAGCAAAATCGGCTCCACTACATCGTGCCGAATTAGCTCGAAGTTAGGGTTTCGATAATGGTGTAATAGATTTCCTTTACGCCCCGTGAAGAAATTATCGACCACAATTACACTGTCTCCACGAGCTATTAAACGGTCGACCAAATGGCTGCCCACGAAACCGGCGCCACCTGTCACTAAAATTCTCAAGCTTTTGGTTTTCAGCCCTAATGAATTCTCCACCGCAACA